GTTCCCAGGAGTGGGAGCAGCTCCTAGGCCTGGATGGGCCGCCACAGGTCTGGCTCAGGGCACGGGGAAGGTGGCTCTGCTCGTGCACTGTCCTGTTCCCAGGAGTGGGAGCAGCTCCTGGCCCTGGATGGGCCGCCACAGGTCTGGCTCAGGGCGCAGGGAAGGTGGTTGGCAGAGAGCCTCAGGCCCATTTCCTGGCTCCTGAGTCTTAAAGTCACACCTAACTGTTCTTGTGGTTTTCTTTTTAAATCCTCAGTGCTCCTTGTGCTTGTGCACAGAAAGCCCTCTGACCCTTCTCTCTCAGATGGGAGTGGGGGGGGGGGGCGCTGGTAGAGTGGGGCGGGGTCATGAACAGGTTTGGAAAGGTAGTGAATTATTTCATTTTTACAGACTCGACGTTCTGTCCACTTCCTCAACTCTGCCCTTGTAGGGGAGCAACCAGAGACAATATGTAAATAGGGGTGTTGATGGGTGCCAATAAAATTTACTTAGGATCCTGAAATGTGAAATTCACATAACTTTCCCATGTCACAACATATCATCCATTTGGTTTTCTCCAGCTACTTAAAAATGTAAAAACTATTCATCGCTTGCAGGCGCACACAGCAGGCAGCAGGCGCCAGTCCGCCGCGCCCGGAGCGCAGAACAGGGAGTCGGCCCTCCGCAGGCAATGAGGCCAGGCTCGGAGGGCGCCCTTTCTCGGCCCGGCTCTGGGCAGTCGCAGGCAAGGCCACATTTTCTCCTCTGAGAAGCTGGATGTGGAGGGAGGAGCAGGAGACAGCGGCCCTTCTTTGTTAACCGTGCCCCGTTTCCCCCCTCGTGCATCTGCCCTTCCGAGCACCCCTCCCACACAGCAGTGGGATTTGGAGGACAGGAATGGAGCACCCAGCGAGCAGAGACCAGAGAGAGGGGCTCCTCCTGCGGGGGAGGAGCTGGGTACCGGTTTCAGGCAGGACCACACGGAGATGTCACCATGGAAGTCAGGGAGCCAGTGCCTAGATGGAAGCGGAGTGAGGAAAGCCACGGAGGAGGCACCGGCTCCTGCCCAGAGGGCCAGCGGCAGGGCCAGCTGGGGGTCTGGGTACAGACACGCGTGTGCCGATATGGCTGAGCACCACTCTGAGGACACAGCGGCAAACAGAGCCCATCCCCTTCTGTGGAGGAAGAAACTGAGCAGATGCAGAAAGGAAGATGAGCTGTCCAGGTGCAGGTGCAGGTGAAGAAGAAGTGAAGTGAGGGGTCACGAAGGGATGGGGTGTGCTTTGGTGCAGACCAGAGGACAGCCTCTGGGAGCAGGAGGCATGTGACTGAGACCCAGGGAGGGCTGGGGGGCCGTCCAGCAGAAGAGACATCATCTTGGTGGATGAGCGCACTCTGTCTGTGTGAGAAAGAACAATGAGCCAGCCCTGGCTGGTGTGCTCAGTGGTTAGAGCATTGGCCCATGCACTGAAGGGTCTCAGGTTTGATTCAGGTTCGATTCTGGTCAAGGGCACATGCCTGGGTTGCAGGTTTGATCCCCAGTTCCGTCGGGACGCATGAGAGAGGCAACCAATTGATGTGTGTGTCTTTTTTTTTTTAATCCTCACCCAAGGACATTTTTACATTTATCTTCAGATAGAACGGGAGGGGGGGGGTGGGAAGCGAGAGAGATAGAAACATTGATGTGAGAGAGACACATCGAGTGGTTGCCACCCACACGACCCCAACCGGGGCCGGGGACAAACTGCCACCGAGGTACATGCCCTTAGCGGGAACTGAACCTGGGCCTCTGGTCCGCAGGACGACGCTCTAACCGCTGAGCCAAACTGGCCAGGGCTGATGTGTCTCTCTTACATCTATGTTTCTCTCCCTCTCTCTTTCTCCCCACTCCCTTCCTCCCTTCCATTCTCTGGAAAAAAAAAAAAAAAGCAATGGAAAAAATATCCTCTGGTGAGGATTAACCCCTCTCCCCCAAAACAAAGAATAAGGAGCTGGAGCCGGAGCAGGAGGAGGAGGGGAGAGAGGGAGGCGTGAGGTTGACAGCTTATCTAGGGCTTGCAGGCAGGGTGAGGACGTTCCCGCAGTGCTTATGGATGGAGCTCATTCGGGAAGGCTGGGGCGGGGCCGTGGGGGAGGCGGCAGTCGGAGCTGGGGTGGGGGCGGCGTAGTGCGGGCTGGTCCCAGTCACACTGAAATGGCAAACACCTAGCTGGCCTGGAAGGGCGCAGATGCTGCCCACGCCATCCCCGTTGTTCTCCTTGCCCTTCCCCCTGCTGCCCTCTTCCCCCTGTCCCGGGCACCAGGGAAACGGAGAGGGGCCGGGCATGGTCACCGTGATCCCCGCCACGTTAGGCCTTTATACCCTTTGCTTCCCTCCCAGCCTGCACGGGACAAGCCGTGCACACCACGGCCCTAACTCGGTTGCCTTTGATAAGCCTCACCATCTGCAGCTCAGTTCAGATCTTGCCAAGCTTCAGTCTGACAAATGATAAGAAGCGTGGAGACACAGCTCTGGTGGGTAGGAGTTCTGCGCCAGCCTGGCTGCTCCCCGGCGCTCCACGCCCGGGATCCATATGGGTTGCTTGGGGTTTTAAAAAAGCACATCGCCGCATGTCCTCTGTCTCACCAGAGAGAGGAGCCGGGATCTGGCCGCGGACCAGGTGCCGAGGTCCTCATTTGGCCGTGGGACACGTGCTCTCCGTGGCCAGGCTGTGCTGTCGGAGGACGCCAAGGAGCTGAGGGTGACATCCCCCCAGCCTGCGGCCTCGCTCTCCCTCACCTGTAGCCCCCGTTTTGAACCTGGTCCTTAGACGGGCGGGATGTGTGTGGAACTCAGCACAGGGCCGCGCACGGACCGCCATTCAGTGAGTGTTGTGCAGTGAGCGTGTTGCCGCGTCCGGGACCGGCCCTTGGAACCGAGCCCAGAGTGTGGCTTTCCCCAGGGCGGTGAGGGGAGCGGGGAGCAGAACTGCCCTCAGGAAGCAGACGTTCCAGGCGGTGGGGGGACGGGCAGCAAAGACAAGCGTGTGCTCGCTGGTGAGGAGGACTTTGAAGATGAGTGTGTTGGGGCGGGGTCCTTCCGTAGGCATGCGCTCAGGGAGGCCATTGTGATAAGGTGACATTTGGGCCAAGGTGAAGTGGAGAGCAGCCGGCGGCTCCCTGGGGCAGAAGGTTCCAGGCGGAACAGCACATGCAAACGCTTGCCGGCAGGAGGACCTGGCCCTTGGGAGGAGCAGCAGCCCAGTGTGGCCGGAAAGCGGGGGGCAGACAGGTGCGGGGAGCAGGGGGAGCTGCCGGCAGCCAGTCTGCCAGGCCTCGTGGGTCACAGCAAGACCTGACCTCACCCTGAATGGGATGGGGCCTCGGAGGCTGGGAGGGGGCGACAGGCTGGATTCTGCAGACATCTTGACGGGAGGCCGCGAGGCTCCCCTGACGGAGTGGGCGAGGGATGTGGGAAGGCGAGGGCTCGGTGGAGTGGACCCGCCGTGTCTGGGGTGGGAAGGCTGAGGGGGGAGCAGCTGGGTTTGGTAAACCTGGGACGTCTCTTAGGCTCTCAAGGACGTCACTAGGCAGTTGGGCTCAGAGCAGAGGTCAGGGCTGGAGACAACTTGAGAGCCACCAGCTGATCATCAAGCCACAGGGCTGGACTAGTGGGAGTAAGTGTGGAGACTAGGGGACTGGGACCTCAGCTGCCCCAGAGCCAGGGGTTGGGAGAGGGAGGGGCCGGGCAGCTCAGTGGTTCCTCGGGCATGAGCAAGACAGCCACCCAGGAGAGGGCTGCCGAGTGGTTTGTGCCTGGATTTCGTCAGCCCAGGACTGATGGGGAAGCACCGTCAGAGTCAGCGATGAAAAGGGAACAAACCGTTCATCTTGGAGTTTTCCCTAAACTCCTAGAAGTTCACTCATTTTCCTCAGACTCTGGGCGGCACTGGGTCTGGTCTAGTACAGATGGTGGAATCGGACTGTCCAGGGTCCAGCCCTCATGGCCGCTCACCGCTCTTCCTCCACAGTCCTGACCTCCCTCCCGTCCGGCTGGGCAGAATCCCTCCTGTCCTCCCCCAGATTTCGAGGTCAATCCATGTCCTAGCCCAGAGGCCGCCTCCTGCAGGAAGCCCCCCAGATGGCGCTGGCTAGAAGTGCTTGTTCTCTGGGAGGGCCCGCAGGTCCTCACTTGTCTCTGCTGTCTGGCTCTTGTTCCCGTGGCCCACTGGTCAGCTTTCACTTCCGCGCCCTCTCTCCCCCCTGGGAGGTGTGGCTAAGGGTTGGCTTGAGTTCGAATTCCAGCATCATCAGCGTCCAGCCAGGTGATGTTGGGATGTTGGGTGGCTCATGTAGCCTCCCCAAACCTCAGTTTTATCTAAAAATGGGATAACGATCCCACTGCCTTCAGTGAGTTGGTCGCATGGCTCTGTGCTGGGCTCGTGGGGAGCCCGACAGGTGCTCCTTCCCTCTAAATGCGAGTGGCTCAGGGCAGGTGCGCAGCTTGGCCCGTCTCCACGGACCTGTGCAGACGCACGGCGTGCGCCCAGTAGCGCTCACTCGCTGAACTCGGAGAAGAGTCTATCCAACTTGGCTCCAGTGTCTTAAAAATTCAGAGGGGTTGAAATACACAGTCATATTTTTCATTTAGTTCCTAGTAAAACAGTTTTCACGTGGCTATGAAAAATAAAGACAAGTTCAGGTGTGCAAAACTAGTGTTTAAGTAGCAGTTAACAAAAAGGACTTTCTTGTAAGTCTTAAAAGGGAATGGATTGTGCCTGAGACTTACTGCTTTACATCAGAAAAAGGTTTTTTTTTTAAACGTACTAAGAACATTTACAGAGAAAATTGCCTTGAAAACATTCAATAAATGTAAAGTGTTCTCTTCTTCCATCGACATTTCATTTTGCAGTACCTACGACTGAATCTTTGAAAACATTTTATTTTACAAGAAGCATTTAAAAACGTTCGCATTTCTTTGTTACCATTTTGGTTTTCAGCATTGGATCTTTTGACTTTTCCTAAATCACTTTTACACACAGATTTTAAAAAACATGAAAAGTGTTATCAGCGCCCTCAAGCTCATGGACGTTAACAAGACTGGGCGGGTCCAGCCGCGTGAGCTGAGGCGGGTCCTGGAGACCTTCTGTGTGCAGATGAGGGACGAGGAGTACCGACGGTAAGGAGACGCAGGGGCTGGGAGATTGCTCCGTAGACCTGGAACCATTTTCCAAATGGGACCTGTCGGGGTCTCCGGAGCCACACGCTTCACTCCGTCCCTCCTCCATCTCCACTCTTCTCAAAAGGCGCGCGCGCTCGTCATTTCTCTCTCGTTCCGAAGCCTCCACGGACTCTCAGGAGTGAGAGCTGATGGTTCGAATTCCTTACACACCCTCGGGTGGGAGTCATCTGGCCCGCAGCCTCCACACACCCCGAGGAAAGCCATCCATCGTGGTTGCCTCGCCCTCGGGTTGGCACCACGCCCCCCATCCCTGTGTTTCCAGCAAACAGTTGACTTTCACTCAAAGCCCGGGGTGAGGAGGAGAGTGAGTTAATGTGCTCCCCCCTGGCGCTCCATCCTGATGCAGAACTGAGACTTCAGCCCCTTTGAGGGCTGCTCCTGCCGAGGTTGGGGCGCAGCAGCAGGAGACCTTAGGTGACGGAGCGCTGGGGCCCTGGGCGTTGGATCACCGCCGCCACGTGCTCCTGACTCGAGGCCAGTGAGTGGGAGCTGGCATGGGCGATCTTCTGAGCCCCCAGTAAACTCCAGGTCATTTAGGAGCCACGTGTTTGGCTTCAGTGGCTACTTGAGTCTTGAGTGGAAGCCACGGAGGGTCCACGTTTAACCTTATGCACATGGTGCTCAGCCAGGTGGCACCGTCTCTCCTGCCTTCCCCCCCTTGGTGAGTACCCCCCACGCCATGAACGGAAGCCCTAGGAGCTTGCCCAGAGACGGAGAGTTTCGCGGCGCACTGCGGGTGAAGTCGCCATGAAAACCGTGTGCTGTGTCCCTCGCACATTATTAAAGACACGTTGCGGCCTCTGTAGGGAGCAGAGGCCTTCGCTCCTTAGCAAGGAAGTCGGGAGCGTCCGCGACGGCCTCGGGCACCGCAGGGTCTGAAAAGCAAGGACACATTGAAAAAATGGATAGTTCCTAGTCTTTTGAATAATTTCTTTTTTCCTCTTTATCACCCACCTCAGAATATAAAAGCCATAATAGATGTTTTAATTTTTACATCTTTCCGGCTGGGAAAGTGTCCAGAATAAGATCCAAACAAAACAAATTAAATAATTTTGTGCATGCAATTATAGAACAGAAGCAACACTTTTAAAACCGGCAATCAAAAACCAGAACTGTTTTATTTGACAATAAACCTTGCGTTTGGCACCGCAGTCTCCAACCTAGTAAATCTATAAAAAATGTTACTGTCTGCTTCCCCATCTCATAAGTATTGAATAATAAAGAACGCCACACATTTTCAGTTGAGTATTTTTTTCAGCCTCGGAAACAATGCTGTTTCCTGATAAGGCGGGAGGAGCGCGATGGGATTGCTCGCCTTCAGCGCGAGCCGAGACCATCAAAGGGCTGCTGCCGTCCGTCCACGCTTCCCCTTGAAGCTCAGGCGGGCTCGCTCCTTGAGGAGCCGCCTCAGTGTTAACTTTGCCTTTTTAGTTTCTGAGCAGAAAACACAATGCATTTTTGAATCCTCTTTTTTTTTTTTTTTTTTAAATGTAACAGCTTCTGTTTCATGTCAGCCTTCAGTGCTCGGCGTGGTAGGAACGGCTGGGCTTTGAAGTCAGGCCCCTGGGGTCAGCCCTGTGCTCTGCCCTCCCGAGTCCTCAGGCCTGGCAGGCCCCCGGGCCTCTCTGAGACTCAGTTTCCTCTGAAAGAAATGGAGACCGAGGAGCCCCCCTCGCAGGGCTGGCGGGAAGATCCCACGTAACGTACCGAGCGTGCCCGTGACGCCAGGCACATGCCGTCGGCTCGATGCGCAGACGGTCCCGTAGCCTGTTGGTTTCACCAGCGGCCTTTACTCCTTGGTGAACAGCTCTCCGGAGGCGGCAGAGTCTCATCTTCCTGCGTAACCAGGAGGCAGAAAGATTGCCGCCAGGTCTTATACTTAGTCAGACCGTCCTAGACCCACTGGGCTTGCTTCCTGCGCTCCCCTCTCTCACCACCCTCCCTCCCCTTCACGGCCTTGCAGGCCAAAGTCCTTGATCTGGGTTAGATGATTCGTGAGCAGCCTGAAAAACGGACTCCCTGCCTCCTTCCCTGGAGGTCAGTCTGCTGCCCAGCGGCTGAGTGAAGCCCAAGGTCCAGTTCTAGCTGGTGAACCTGGAGAGGTTGGTGGGTCAATGGGCGTCTTTCCCTTTGCCCCTGAAGCCGGCCTTCCCGAGTGACGGACGTGCCTGAGGGTGTCCGTGGACGTGTGAGTTCAGGTCCCCGGGAACACAGCCTTGGGGGGGGCATCTTAGGAATGGTTCCGTCTCCTAGGCCTTTATTCTTGTGAACAAAAGCCCATGGAGATTCTGCATGCGTGGGCGGGACCGAGGCTCGTTCCTGAAGTGCCATCCGTAGGAGCTGTCACCGTGGGTTCTGTCTGTCCGAGCTCAGGGACGATGAGCGGGCATGAGGAAGGGTCAGGGTTCTCAGCGGGCAAGTACAGTTTGAGGGATTGCTGACTCGCAGCAAACAGGAAAGCTGGCGACGAGGCTTTGGTCCGCATCCCAACGTTCCTGCAGCAGCCAACGCTGTCCAGAGGTCGGCGACACAAGGAGGACGTTAGGGGCCCTCCTGGCTCCTCCAGCTTACAGCCTCTGTGCCCGAGACAGGCACTGGGTGGGAGGGAGCTGCTCGGGGAGTTCAGTGCTAACCTCTGGCAGCTATCATATCTCAAGATAATTTTTCTTACTAGAACAATAGGCAAGATTCATCGCAGTGGAAGAAAGGTGTGCGTTGACATGAACACATGACATTACTCTTTGTTAAATTTGGAAAACAGGAAAATAACAAATACTTTAAGTGATAATTACTAAATTTTTAGAAAGCAGCATGAAATCAGATAATTATAGAAGCCAACACATATGGAGGTGATGTAACCAAACATTTAAAAACTGTCATTTAAAAAAATAAATGTAATAATGCAGAAATTGTCTAGAAAAGCATGGATCAGGTGGCAGGTTTGAATAACTGGAAAAACAAATCCCGAACATCCCCTCTATCTTAACTTACAATAAAGAGTATCTCAGTATATTTCAGGAGAAACACTGATTGTGCTTACAGACTCTCTATAGAAATCGTAGCATGTGCCCAGAAAAGTCCCCCCGCCTGCGACAGTGACTGCTGGGTGTGTCATCCTGGGCCCCAGTTTCTCTGCAGAAAGGAGATGCTTGGTCAAAACAGTGGGCTATGTTCTGCCCTCCACCTAGCTCTAGGTTTCTCTTGATTATTGACATTTTAACCAGAGAAACTGTCTCGTGGCCCAGCCCCATTCCCCCCAGTTATTAAAGGGAAGTGGGGCTCACCTTTGCTATGAGTGCAGAGCTGGCTCCCCTGTGGCGTACGGCCTGGCCGCCCCTCCTGCCAGAGAAGGGCCACCCTGAGGGGCACTGGGCAGGGCCTGTCCTTAGCCGGCCCGAGGCGTTCCTGTCCCATGGACTCCGTAAGCACCCACACACAGACAGAGTGAAGGGATCTCCTCAGAGGTATCTGCATTTCTAGAAAAAGGGTAACATTTCCTACTTTTAATTCCAGCTCTAGCCAGAAACACATTAAAATGACCACCAACCCCAATGTCAAGGATACCTTAGTAACAAACTTTCTTCACTTTTCATCTCTGTCTCATGATTTCTGATCACTAAAGAAGATTTCTGTTTCAGGTTTGCAGAACACTACAACATTAATAAAGATACTGCAGTGGATTATTACGCCTTTTTGAAGAACTTCAGTATAAATAATAACTTAAACTTTACGAATTGTATGGGAAATCAAGGTATGTATTTTTTTTAAATGTTTTTATTGATTCTTTTAGAGAGAGAGGAAAGGAGAGAAACATTGATTGGCTGCCTCCTGCACGCCCCCTACTGGGGATCAAGCCTGCAACCTGGGCACGTGCCCTGACTGGGAATCAAACCCGGACCTCTCAGTCCATGGGACAGTGTTCAGTCCACTGAGCCACACCAGCCAGGCAAGGTACAAATGTTTTTAAGTACGTGGCTGAAGATTTCAGTAGCGTTTGGCAGGGTAATTTCTCTTCTGTGGACCTGTCCTGAGGAAATAGTGCCAAACACGGAAAGTGCGTAACCCCAGAGAAGTTGATAACGTGAATGTCCAACTAGAGGAAGCGGATGAGTGAGGCACAGCGCATCTGCGTGGCACAGGGGCAGCCACGAGCCGTGGTTTCCACGAGGTCACGGTCACGGGGAGAGTGTACCAGCAAATGGTGGGAAAGAAATGCCGAAGTCAGATCGTCTTTAAGTGATCGTCTCTGGGTGCTGTTTGGTTCTTTCTGCTGCTTCCATATTTTCAAAAGTTTTCGATAATGGACATGTTATTCCTGTAAAGATGGGGAAAATCTTGCCGTAGAAGCGCAGATAGTTGAGTGGTTTATATAGCTATGTTGGACAGGTACCAGGCTTACGATCTCCAGAAGGAGAAGTTTTCCTTCCTTATCCCAGCTGAGCCAGCATAGCGCCCAGAGGGCCCCCCGCTGCAGGGCTCTGCAGGGCTGGGGGCGGCCACTGGCAAGTCTCCTGGGCAGCCCTCTGGGCGTCTGAGGCCGGTGGTTTCTTGCCGGAGTTGACCACCTGTTACCGGCTTCTTCAAGGCGGGTTGCGCCATCTGGTTTCAGCCTAATTCAGCACAGCAGATACACACCGAGCACCCTCTGATTCTCAGACCCGCCTCGCCAGCAAGCTTAAAAATGACAGCGGTCAGATTTCAGCGCGGTCTCCCTGACCGGGAGAGCTTCCGGCAGGCTCTAGGACTCTCCGTTTAAAGCCTCCCGAGTGTAGGGATTTCTAGGCAAGGAATCTTCCAAGGACCCTTCGTCCCTTACATTTTGTTAGTTCATGTGCAAGTCTGTGCCACTAGGCCCTTCACTGGGTACACAACCAAGCTGTAGGCTCTGTCTTTAAGGGTGTGTGTGTATTAATATAGGGCAGGTATATTATGTATATTACATACATGTTAAACATATATTGTAATATATATAATATATATGGCAGGTGAGATCAAATAAGTCACATGAAAAGTAAGCCCTGGCTGGTTTGGCTCAGCTGTTTGAGCATTGGCATGTGTACTAAAGGGTTGTGGGTTCGATTCTGGTCAAGGGCATGTACCTGGGTCGCAGGTTCAACCCCCAGTTCGGGTCATGCCGGAGGCAACCAATCGATGAGACGCTCTCTCATGGATGTTCCTCGGTCCCTCCCTCCCACTCTATCTAAAAAAATCAATGGAAAAATATCCTCAGGTGAGGATTAATAATAATAATAATAATAAAAAGCAACTATTGTGCTCTGTGTAGATACTTTATAAACTTTAATTTTTATTTCTCTCAATAGCTTTATGAGGTGGGTTTTGTGATCCCAACTTCAGGCGGGAAAACTTGGGCTTGGGGGCTCAGTGACTCCCAGGTCACATAGCGAGCTCGTGGTGGGGTCCAGCTGAACTGTTCGCTCCAAAGTTCAAGCCCGAGAGAACGGGGGCCACGGGCCTTCCCGGGGGGAGGAGGGCCACGCTGGGAGGCATTTCTGCAGGACGAGGGCTCATGGTACATGTGACCAACACGGAGGGAACAGCATTCCAGCCAAGGCCGAGGGCAGTGGGCAGGTGTGTCTGAAACACAGGCCCTGCAGTTAGCTCAAGTGAGAGATCGGCTGGTATGTAGCCTGGCTGGGGAGGGTCTTCACCACAGACAAGTGCATACACCTGTTTGATCACCGTCATCGTCAGCCCCAGTTAATGAACATTCGGTCCACGCCAGGCCCTGGGCTCGGTTCGCGTTCAGTGCAGCCGTGGGAGGCGGGCCCGGGTCAGAGCAGTGCAGAGAGGTAAGCGACCAAACCAGTCCTGCCACCCAGGGCAAGATGACCGCTGCCAGCGCTAACCGGGCATCTTCCGTGCCGGTCTGTGCCCGGGGCAGACAGACAGAAAGGCATTCGTGAAGTGGGTTCCCATATACGCCATCTCGTGTAAGTTTTTTTTTTATTTTTACTTGAGTATATCAGAAGAATAGACATTGAAATGGAACTGAGGAAAATGGTGAATATATCTTTTCTTGGCTGCACGTCATGTCCATGGGTCACATTTACCCTTCCGCAGGTCACAGACTTGGATGCATTGTTTCCTAGTACTGAGTCTGCCTGATTTTCTCCCCGGTTGTAACTCGTTAACCCAAAGAATTATTTATCCCTCAGTTTTACTGGTATGACTAGGATATACCTTGGTGTGAGCTTTTTGTATCAGTTTTCCAATCTGCAAGTTTAATTTTTCTTTATGTTGAGTTTTTTTTGTTTTGTTTTTTTGTTTTTGCAATAATATTATGTATCTTTGAATATATTATGATCCATTTTTCAGATTTTTAACATCAGTGACACAAATTATCCCTATGTTGTTGGATTGTCTTTGTCTTCTATATCGATTAAATTCTTTCAATGCACTTTATTCTCTCTTTTCCCTCTGTGTTCACAGAGATCACCTTAGCTCTTTCATCCAGACCCCTAATTTGATTTTTTAAAAACTTTTTTTGCTTCTTTATTGATTTTAGAGAGAGAAGAAGGGAGAGGGAGAGAGATAGAAACATCGATGAGAGAGAACATCAACTGACCACCTCCTGCATGCCCCCACTGGGGATCAGGCCCACGACCTGGGCATGTGTCCTGACCGGGAATCGAACCGGCGACCTCTGGGTGCATGGGTCGACGCTCAACCACTGAGCCACACCAGTCGGGCCCCTAATTTGATTTTCACCGAGGTGTATTCTATTCTTTGCTGTGTCTACTTTATTCTATAATGGTGTTTCCTTTGGTCTACTGTATTAATTTTCGTTTCATTTTATTGTTTCATTAACTTCTTTTACTGAATTCATGTTCTTGTTAAGATGTTCTATGAAGTAATTTTGTACATTGAGTTACGTTTTTCCCAAAACGGGATCTTTGCCTTTTTGCGTTACGTCCCCTCCTTCCTTCTCTGTCCACCTACCTCTTCCCCTGGCGTTTTTTCCCATAGAGTTTGCATAATCTCAAGAAATTTGGATAAACTGAGCATTTTATTGCATTATACATTTTTAATTAACCAGAATCTACCTTTAAATAATGTTATACGGATTCACATAAAGTGTAAGGACTTTACAACAGTGTTTTCCCAATTCTCTCCTGTTCCTTGTTATATTTCTGACATACATCATATTTTACATATCATACACTATAAACATAATACATTGCTACAACTTCTGTTTTTCAGCTAGATTTCCTATGTGTTCATTCATTATGAGTATATATTTTCTTTTACATTCTCAAACACTGGTTGTAAAATTTTAAATGCTTTAAACATTTTTTATCTGCTAATTTCAACATTTAGATAATCTCAAGTTTGGTTTTTATTGATTATCTTTTTTTTTTTTTTTTTTTTTTTAATAAGGATCACAGCCTCTTGGTTTTTTCCCACCTATGTCTGGTCATTTTGGAATTTCTCCTAGATATAGTAAATTTTGCATTGTTGAGACTAGGTGTTCTGTTATGTTCCTCTGAGGAATTTTTGTTTTTAGCAGCCATTTTACTTGGCTACATTCAAACTCTAATCTTTGTCTTCCCCGAGGGGGTTCACTAACACCTGAACTCTTTGTTCTGCTATTGTTGCCTGACCTGGGACCTGGGCTTTCCTGTCTGCTTAGCACAGTTGCCGTCCTGGGGTTAGCCAGAGATTTTGGCGGAGTACAGTCAGACGTCTGAGAGCCTCCTCTGTGTTTTTCCTGGGCGTTCCCTCATACTTTCCGACACTGTGGGAGTCCTAATGCTGCTTCCTGGTTCAAAACCCAGTAGGACCCCGGGTTTGTATCCAAATCCAGCCGCCTTGCATGGTTCCAACTGCAGCCTGCCCTCGGGCACAAGGGCAAAGAGCAAGACGCTCAAGGAGAGTCATTCCGCATTTCCCAGTGCCAACTCCAGTTCACGCCAGCAGCTCTCCCTTGCCTTTGGATGCTTCTTTGTTTGTGTTTTGGCCAGAGTTTATCATTGTTTTCTGCTGGTGGGTTGGTTCAATAGGAGCCAACCTACCATAATTGGAAGCAAGCCTTTCTGGCTGCCCATGTTAAGTTTCTCTTTGCTTCAGTTTCCTGCCGGTAATTTTTTTTTTTTTTTTTTGCTAGTTTTTACTTTCTTTTTCTTTTTCAGAAGGTAAGTTCTATAATACAATTTCTTTCTTTTTTTATTTATTTTTTTATTTTAAATCTTTATTGTTGTATGTATTACAGATGTTCCTCATTTTTCCCCCATTAACCCCCTTCTCCCCTGTCCTCCCCCCTCCCACCTTTTCCCACACTATTGTCTGTGTCCATTGGTTATGCATATAAGTTCTTTGGTTTATTTCTTCCCACCCCCCAATCCCCTTCCCTTTGAGGTTTGTCAGTCTAGCAATGAATTTGTACTTCTTAATTCCTTCACCTTTTTCACCCATTCCCCCAACCCCCCTCCCATCTGGCAACCAACAAAATGTTCTCTGTATCTATGAGAATGTTTCTGTTCTGCCTGTTCATTTTGTTTGTAGATTCCATTGTCGATAGATATGTATTCATTGCCATTTTGTTTGTTCATATATTTTATCTTTTTCTTCAAAAAGATCCTTCATCATTTCATATAATAACGGTTTGGTGGTGATGAACTCCTTTAACTTTTTCTTGTTTGGGAAAATCTTTATATGGCCATGGATTCTAAATGACAGCTTTGCAGGAAAGAGTAATCTTGGTTGTAGGGTCTTGCTTTTCATCACTCTGAA